GTTTACACGACAGGAGTTTGGTGAGAGTATATTACCCCATCATCGTACATCGGACACCAGAAGTACCCTAACGCATGTTGGCATATGATTTGAAGACTGGCCATCCCCTTTTTTGATACTATTGAAACAGCAGCCCAACACAGCGACATGTCACCGTGGAGGACTCTCACTCAGGAGATACGTGACTGCCTCTCCCCGACAGTTCACGCTCACTGTCACGATCAGGGCAAACAGGGATATTACTCTTGCATATGTCACAACTACGTTAGAGGCACGACCAGCGTCCAGATATAACAATGATCCATAGAAACCTGTGAGAGAATGAGAGCATACAAACACTGTCCTAATGTAGGAGGTTAGAGTAAATCCCAACATCTTACATAGTTAGTTTATAATCATACAGTTGTAAAATAATTAATACTATATTTCAAAATATCCCTCCTATAAGCAAAGCTCTCTAAGTTTTACTGTACTTAACTCTCAGTAAATAATCAATGCTGACAATTTGACATTCAAGGAGGGATTTGGTAATCCTTAAATCATCATGGTGGCACCAAACACCCTGAGCCAAATTTTGAAAAGTGGTAGCAGGCAAAGTCTATTCTGAATCCAAAGTTACAGGTCAGATATGCTACTGGTTTACACGACAGGAGTTTGGTGCCAGTATCTTACCCCAGCAGCCTACATCGGACACACCGGAAGCCTGAAGTGAGGTTGAAAAGCTTGCAAGTTCATCTGCCAATTTGCCAGATGATAGACCTTCACGTCAACAGGGAGCCCCCCAGGAAGCCTGACCAATAAAATAAAAAAAAATACTTTTCTTGAAATTTTGACGAGTGGTTTTGCATGTGGCTTACCTCAGAGCTGTCCAGCTGTCCTCTGTGGAGCATCTGGCTTCATCCACAAGATGACACCTCAACATTCTAATTTATTCAAGAACTCTGCTGTGTTCCCGTTCCATCCAGCATTCTATTCTATTCTGTTCTGTTCTCAAGGGCAGATAATGTCTCCTTTTATGAATTCACTATTTTCTAGTCCAGCGTACCTCATGTTTTCCATGGCACAGTTTTCACAAAACTCCACACATTATGACCCATTAGCAGTAATGATACACTATATATTAAAAAAAATAATTTTGTCTGTTGCTTTGCAGATATTTTAAATCATACATGCAACAAGTCACAACAAAAGATGAAGCTGTTGCAAGTAACTCCACAAATGATCCTTTTAACATTGTTAAGCTGTCTATGTTTGCAAATTCATATTCAAATGCTAATATGTTGCATCCCGTGTAGTGTGGTAATTATAGCCACACCCAAATCTCACCTGCACCTGAGTTTGGAATTGGGCAATTGATGGATTTAAGACCGTGAAACTGTTCTGAACTGAATTATTTGGTGGATAATAGTTAAATACCTCCATCTCCTCCTCGGTGGTAGTTTTAGGCTGAACGTGACGCTCAGTCTCCAGCAGGTCCTCAGGTATTCAGCATTTTTAATGTAGGTAGATCATTTTGACTTGGTCATTTTAAAAGTAGCTTGCAAGTCGAAAAAGTGTGGGCACCCCTGCTCCAGAGCCACGGCACTGGATCAGTGTGAGCACAGCATGCAGGAAGGTTCACAAGTATAGAAAAGACTTTGGTGTCTTCTGTCATCTTTTGACCGCGAGTGTGCATTTTCCATGTGAGCGGTCAGATGACGGGCATGGAGATTGACAATGATATTTCTGAGAGGGCCCTTTATTGAACTCACAGATGTGGACTGGTGTTGCATGTTTTACACACACACACACACACACACACACACACTTCTTATCCCCTTTTGAATTTCCCCAAGATCTCCAATCTTTCTTCTTGACATTTTACCAGCAGTTTTGATGTTTGCACTATAATTATGACAGTGTTCATGAAATAAAAGACAGGATCACATTTATTTTATGATAAAAATTATGAACAGTTTACCTGTTGTAAGCAGGTAAGCTGTAATTGATTCTTACTGTAATGTTATTTAGTTACAAGTGTTGGGATTGATAAACATTTGAATACAACAGCATCCATGATGACTTTGTTTTCAGTTGCATGATTTTCTTTTTATATAGTTGAAGTCACAGTACTACATTTTTTTCTTTGCTGGTTGTCATAATACCAGAGGAGACTGTTTGTGTCACTTTATTTGGGCTGTTTTCACTGTTGGGCCCTTTAATTCAGATTGCCTGGCTTTACTAACTGAACCGGCTTTATTCATAAAATATGACGCCTCAGCTTTTTTACAAAATGTAACTAAATCTATTATCACACAACATATTAGATTATCTCTCTTGTTGACACTATTCAGGAGGATTAATGAAGAACAAACGTGACTGTGAGTGTTATTCTAATATTTGTATTACTTTATAGTATAAACAGTGAATTGTGATATTCATAAGCTTTTTTTCACTGCCAATATTTTGAGGTTATAGCAGGTAAAGCACAGGTGTAATTAATGACATTACTAATGTAATTCCATTTACTCTCAGTTCTGTGGTCCTGGTACTGTGCCATTGGCTCAGTACATAAAGGCTCTAAATGTGTGTAGAATTTTGCTGTAAAAAAAAAATATCACTTTCTGTTTTACTAAAACAAGAATACATTTGAATGTAGTCAGTGCTGTCATAAAGATATACTGGTCCACACTGCAGTCAGTAGTGAAATTACCAGTTACTTCCTTGTACTGTCACCTGTTTTTGTTGGCTACTGCATCATGAGTCATGCTTGAAAATGACTTCAGCTACCTCATGAATAGTTTAAAGGTATAGACTCACAATAACTTGTGTGATTTGTTCTGTACTTCTCTTTTTCACTGGTAATCTATTGCATTTTTAAAACAATATGTACTTCAGGACAGTTTTCTGACCCCACATACATTTCATTCGCCAGATTTAGGTTTTAACATTTGTGCAATCCACACATAATCCCACCACAACTGAGATAAGTACATTTACAGTTCTACATATCGGAGGGAAATCTTGTATTTTTCCTCCGCTACATTCGTTTGACAGCTATAGATATTGGTCCCGTTGCAAGTTAAGGTTCTAAATACAATACAAACGATCATTTTCCAAAACATAATGCATGAGTGCAGATTACACTACCCAACAGTGTACAGAGCAGCAAAAATTAGCTTCACTACAACATAAAACGCTGAACACTGATGCATTGGTAACAAATCCAGTCAATCTGCCTGCTTTATATACACACCACTATAATGTAATGTATTATAAATACATAAGGCACTGAGAAATTACTGTTTAGCTGCATGTATCTTAAATGTTTATATGCTGCTTATGAATGCTAAGTAAGGGACTGGTGTCAGTGTAAACCTTTATACAATATAATTAATATGGACCTTTATTAGGTATAACGACTAATGGGGTCACACATACACATTAAACATTAAATTGAGGGTTAACTGCCTTGCACAAAGGCACTTATAAAGTATCTGTTGAGGGCGGGAGCTCTCCTTAATCACCTGCTAATAATGTTTCACCAGCTCGGAGTAGTAAAGCCTGTGACAGCAGCCCTGACTCTCAGAAGGATGTGATGCAATGGGTTATTATCATAATATATGCTGATCTCATCGCTTCGGTCCTCCACCAATCAGCGTGCTTCACTTTCACCACCTGCTAGGAACTGAATTCCATCATTCCAGGCATTCCTGCCCTCCTCCTCCTCCCTCCCTCCTCCCTCCCTCCCTCCTCCTCCTCCTCCTCTTCCTCGTTTAGCCTACAACCAAGTTTGTCCCGACAGCTCTGCTACTATTGTGTTGCCTCGTATGCGGCACCGTTTGACCGCGGCTTCTGTTTTGCGTCTCTGTGGGATATACCCTGTATCTTGTGTTTGTTTTTTTGTCTGTGTGGATATTATCATACTGGAGGATACCAAGGTGGCGCTTGAAGGAGGTATGTGTGCTGCTAAACATGAAGTTGCGTCTGACTGAAATTGTTTCGCGTTTGTAGGATGAGAGTGCGCTCTTTTTTTTTTGTCTTCCCCTTTGAGTCAGTTGTTGCGAAACACCTAGTCCGCATGTAAACGAAAGGCAGCGACGTAAACACGCGCATACGACCGCACTGAAGCAACATCCGCGTCGTTATATGAGATTTCATTCAGGCTCGTGAAGCGGCTCTGGCGGCTTCACACGTCCCCAAACTTTCTCACGTCTGGAGACCCGCTCAAGCCGCACGCTTTCTCCCTCGTTTGGGGACATTTAGTTGTGCGACTACTGTGAGTGTGGTGGAAAGAAGTGAAACGTAATCACTTTTATTTAAGTAGCAATGCGTTTCTTTGGTATTTTGCATGGACACCTCTTAAAGGGCAGACGAGGAAGAACTGAGTCACGCTGGTATAAATACACCACTG